ACTTTTACTTTACACACTGACAACGTTAAACCCCCTACTTCATAACGGGCAGCTTATAAAGTTCAAGGCCATGGCAAACCTGGGGGACTATAACATCCACCGGAACAATATACCACCTGCTGTCGTAAGACGCTCACATGATGATTATATCTATAATATCCTATCGTGTACATCACTTTGACCTTTATATCATCTACATCATGTGTATCAAAATAACAAAAGGCTGATTGTTCTGTCATTCATTTTGACCTCACGTGCCTTTAAAATATTCGTTCAGAAAACAAAACAAAAGTACCAAATATATCTAATGTCTCAATCACTCCGAAACACGCTTGTTCTCATATAAAATTGTTACCACATACAAAATAATTATGTTGTTTGCATCGATAAATCTTTGATTTGTAAAGATCAGAAATCTTCGTAATCTCTAGTCACACTACTCGTTCAATTTTCATCAACATTTTGAGAGAAACTCTCCTAAAGCGTGTATTTGTATATTATATATCCAACGACATTTCTACAGACTGCAATATGTCAATGACGTCATTTCAAACCATATCACCCCTTTGATTTGCACCTTCGCATAAATATAGTTCTTTTAAAATTGCCTTACTTATTTTGTACTAGCAGAGACAAAAACGATATATTATAGCAAGCATATTTAACTATTTGATTTTTTTTATAGTCCAAACGAGGTGAAAATACAGAGGAAATCCGTCCTAATTTCGTGAAACAATTTTGACTTTTCAGGAACTTCAATGCTAAGATGGACGTAAGAAATTGTTAATTGATGTAGCAAGCCAAAATTTAATTAGGCCTGTTCATCATTCCTGTATGATTATATACTGTTGTACTAATTGTGATTTTTTTATCTTGAGAGTTTTGCATAACCATTGAAGTGTAAAAGAGTTATAATTTAAACTTTGGTTTGTTTTTTCTCATTCAACTAGCCTGTATCAATGACTGATTCCTGCGAAACCCTGTACTAGTACAATAATGATTATATTCGTGAATTTCAAAATATTCGTGAATACGCAAATGCTTTAACCTGAAAAGTACAATCAGATTAAACACATAGTCATGGTATGACTGCAGTGTATCAATGTTGGGGCAACACCACCACTATCATCAATCCCTCTCCAACCCGTCCACCCCTTCCTCATGTTAGGAGGTCCCTAGGGAACACCCCTGTCAAATATCAGCAAACTAGTACAGTGTACAAATACATGTACTTAACGTTTAATGAATGAAATTCAACACTTGCACCAAAGTCTGTTACGGAGATGGATGCAGTCACTCAAATGACTACACAACACCATATTATGTGAGGTACAGGGGCTGGGAATTTAACACACACAATACTATGGTAGATTCCTATCAGTAAACGACCTTTGTTTCAAACCTAGCTATGTGTTGAACTGACAGTTACACCAGTGTTGACTTTTTCCTCTAGTATACAAATGAGTTATGTATCTAGGACTGTATCAAGTACATATACTGTGTCAATGTGTATATGAATATACAGCTGTTTTCAAGAACTAATTGTACCGGTTTCCCCTCGTCGTGCCTTGTCACGATACAGTCCGAGTTACAGGGAATGTTTACATACATGTCATAATTGAAAATGTGTTTTGAATCAACAACGCAATAAGGAAAAAAAAGAAAAACAAAAGATAACATAATCTTTTATTAGTAATGGAACAACAAATCACCTCGATCGGATATTTCCAGTCTGTTGAAAACCTGCGGGTCAGTTTTGTCATAACTTATTATTATGGCACCTACTCCTGTTTTCACCCGTAGAACTCAAATGATAATTTTAAACGTGATCTGGTCTATCGCGTCCTGGCAAATAAGGTTCTGCAACTGACAATATAGTACTGATTTTTAAATAGGATGTCAACCAGATATTCAACCGAGAAAACTGGCCTCGAGGTCTGTATTGATTTTTTGTGAAGACACAATAAGTAATGTTTACATTTGCTTTGCATTTCAAATACTGCAAGTTTGAATAACAAATATGATATTGCAATACAAAATAATTAGATTTTTAAAAGATGATATAATATGCATTAATATGAGCATCAAACTGTCTTTTATTCGAAGTTTTGGGACTGAATCTCTGCATTCTACACACTTAGCTGATCCTGAGGTATAATGATACACAAAAAGAATTACTGTGAAATTACTCATTTTCGTGGTGTTTGGAATTCCGTTAAGACAGTGGGTTATCTTTATCCACAACTTCATAGGTCCACGAAGTATTTTTGACATAAAGCAATTCTCCGTTTGAGTGGGTGTTCGTAATTCACGAATTCCATATACCCACGAAATGGTGTCTTGTCGAGAAACCACAAAATTTCGGCCTCACAAAAACATCGTATTTCACAGTATATGATTGTTGTACGAAGGTCATTGGTTTTAGTTTATGTATAAATCTATTAAATACAAATGTTAAGAAGGTATTTCATTTTCGTTACTTGTCAGGATGTCTAATATCCCCTATTTTTAAATTTTGTTATATATTTCACCTCAACGTGTAATCACTTTTTTGAGCAAAAACAAAATATGTGACGGTGCTTATGAAACTGGTTATTAGGCAAAGTATGCTACATGTATCATCGGTGATTATTACATACGTTTTCATTTCCCCATCTTTAATCGCATGAAGAATTTGCATTATGTTCTAGCGCATCAGAACGCTGACATTGAAAAGCAGAACGTAACCAGCAAAGCTATACCCCCTATATATACAGTCACCGTATTTTGTAGCAGTGATCGATTGATGTTGTCTACACGTGAATGTTAAAGCATTAAACATAACATGATCAAATATCGGAGTGAAGGACACGACATGTATATACAATTTAATGATCCAATTATCCGGAAAATTGAAGAAGAATGGCGCTCGTTGACCACTTGTCCTGTGGACGATTGACCACACACGAAGGTTGTCCGAGTGAATATTTTGTCTCTATGTGTGTCCTACGGCTGCATCCTCTAAAACCGTTGCCAACACGTGATATCCTGTCGTTACAGCGTCATACACCATGAGCTTTTGGTTGCTTTCAAAATCGACGTTTGTACTTACAAATTGATTCAAACCTTCCAGATCAAATACTTCAATCTTGTTTGATGATAGCGTTTGAGCAGAATCTTAAACTTTGACATAACCAACTAAGAATAATAATAATTCTCAATGAGATCACGATGGATGGTGACAATGAAATTATCGAGTCTTCTTGGACCAACATCTATCAAACCCAGTGTTGTATGGTTGTATTGTCCATCATCATTCAACGACTATCAGGGATATCGTGAATATTGAATCAGCAAACGACATGAAACACTGTTGAAACAGGGGTGCTACTATCAAAACAGGGAAAGTTAACGTTCCGAGAATTGATATTGGGAGGCCTGCCGTACGGCCTAGTAGTATGTCGTCCTTGCATGTTAAGTTGTAGATAAAGATCAAGGAAATTCGATGATGAAGAAGGACCAATGATTTCTGGAGTGAAGATGGTTATATACTGAAAACAATTTATTTCTTCCGAGTCTCCTTTGGCATTAGTAACAGAATTTTCTTTAAACTATTTTGATCAAAATGGAGCGTAGCCATTTTATTTCTTTCCTTGTATTTTAATATTAGATTATTGCTCCGGCAGTCTGGGTAGGTCCGCCATCAATATGTCGTGTTGCAATGCAAATATTTGTTCAATGGCTGCAGTATTTGTTATTCACTGCTTACTAAACAAAACAAAACACAGCATAACCTCGCTACTCTGCATCGCTGTAACTCCAGTATATTGGCAAATACTCTCCGTACATCCAACCAACACAGACTAGTATATTGTGCAACATGCATATGTGATAAACGCCCAAATCGACCCGACATAAAACATGCAATGTTTTCTCGCCATACCGTATCAATGACAACAAATAAACTCATATTTACATAGTGACAATAGTGCTTGAAACATATCCGGAGATGATGCAAACGGCATCCATTTTCAAATGCATATTATATTCTATAGTAAAGCGTGATCGCTCTTAAAGCCAAATATCGCATGTTCAAATGAAGTCATGTTATTCGTTTGGTGCAAAACTGAACCGAACAATATTTATATTTGAACGACGAAATCATATCACTTAATCAACTTTCAATATGAATAAATTAAACAAGTAACGCTAATTGCATACGTACGAATGAGGTTCATATTTGAGGATTTTACACTTTATTATACTGACTACTAATTAAGGACTTCAATAATTCAATTCTTAAATTAGAAAGGCTTTTAATTGTAAAAAAAGTGTGTCATTTTTACTAACAAACAAAATAGTATTTTTAATGAATGTCCCAATAAGTGTTATGTTTATCAATCAAATGCCGTGTATTAAATCCTCCGCGCTCGTGCTTTGACGCGCCCATCTTGTTGACCGGAGCTTTCAAAAGACTCATTTTCATGTTATCGCTCAAATAATGACGCTTATAAGACCATGTATAGATCTTTTCTAGTCGTCGGATTTCAATGTCATCTGTTCTTAAATCGAGTAAAATGTTTGATTTTCCAAAGTCAAAAGACGTCGTTCCAGAACAGTATTCAAGCGTGACAGATGACTACTTTTGGGGAAAGGAGTACTTTGTGTATGACGTAATCAAGATATGTTATCCTTTTTTACGGTCTATCACTTGCTGGACCGTAAACACAAACCAATGCAATGAAAAAGAGCATTACAAACAATATTGAATAATTTAGGAAATGTATGAAGACATACATTTGAAAATCGTATTATCTGATATTTATTTTTTCATGCAAGGTCATCTAGCTCTATACTAAACCTGAAACCGCGAAACGCGAAATCAATCTGTTGAGACTTCGTGAATGGCCATAGACATACACTTATAGCATGTTCTAAATTCCTTTAGATGTATTATCTACAGGGAAACTTCATTGTTATTTAATTACTACGTTTAATTATATGTTTTATTGCATTTTCAGAATAGGTTACACAATACCTATGTTCACGGGATTTTGCGTGGCGTTTGTGTCAACTATAAGTAAGTATGTTTAACTGTTTCACTCATATAGTGTTACTGAAAAATGCTTACTTATTCCTTTGACATCACTCTCTTTTCTCTCGTTATGTTCAAAAAGATATCAATTAATAGTATCATCATTATTATTATTCAATTTAATCGAGTGGCTTCTCAGTAACTTGCTTTCTGTTCACTAATTGTTAAATACAATTTGATTATAGATATAACATAACTTCACAAAGAAATGACAGCATAAAGGGTTTACCAGCAAGTGTATCTATCGACATTGTTATAGCATTAATTAACGTTGTGTATAGTATGTCGTTATAGCAGCGAAAACCGCGAATGCAGCGAGTGTAAATAGATCACTTATATAATATCCAGCGAATATAAATACATCGCGAGTGTAATTACATGTACGCATTAACATCGCGAATGTACTTAACACTCTACGACGTGTTTTAACCGTTAATCTTCATGCCAAATAGTATGTGATTTAAAACAACATCTGATGATTTCCTTGAATTGCAGTTTTTGCTTTCGGCGAGAGCTTCACAATCCTGTTCATAGCCAGAGCTGTTCAGGGCATTGGATCATCATGTTCCAGTGTGGCAGGTAAGGAACCTTATTTCTAAATCATCCAGCATTTTTGTCATATTTGATATGGCGTCGTAGCTACTGTTTCAACCGAATACATGGAAAATTACTTAATAGACACAAGAGACTATCAGGCAGATATTAGGGGATACGTATTATGTATACTTTCATTAGATAACATTATACAAAGTTGTACAAGGTTCAACGTATCCATTCAAGTGACTGGTTTATCTGTCATGGTAGAAACAGATAATATATAAATTACAAATACACTGCGTTTGATTGGCTAAGAGACATTTATCAGAGTATGAAATAAAATGTCATGATCACAAGATTTTGCCGAAATCCGACGATTATCGTAGTCTAAACATAATTTGTTTTTGAAAAAAATATGTTTTGATTTTTTAAAATTGAAATCCTTTGAAACTTAGGCCATTTGCTTGGTAGATGTGCTTTGACATGACCATCTAAAAAGTCTTCACTTATTATTACACGGGGTGTTACCTACTGAATCTTGATTTTCTTGACAATTAACATCAACAGTGTCCGTACCGTAACTTTTGAAAAGTTCAAGATCTCTTGATGAAATTTGTATTTCACCTGCATCACCCACAGATAATGTACAGTGCACTGTCAGTAGGTCACTGAGACTATGACCTCAATGTGAAAGTTTAATAAATGCAATCAATTTTTGAGAAACATAATGTCTGTTCCGTAACTTTTATACATATAAACATATCATAAAGGAACAACTTGCAGTATGCCTGCATCACCCACAGATGATGGACAGTGCACTTTCATTAGGTCACTGCAGCCTTGAACTCAAGGATGTTTTAGTTGTAATTTTTAAACTTTAAGATTACTGTAACCTTCCATGTCATAACTGTTTAATTGCATTTATTGATATATGCATTATATACAATTTATTTAAAGGCAGCTCCTCCAATAACTAAATGTATTTCAGAAATTTGTTGTTACCCGGTTATTTGACTTTATTCGCGTATTTTTATTTTGTAAGGGAAAGGGAATGATATTGGTTAATAAAGGTAGACCTTTGTTTCCCACAAAACAAATATCGGGTTTTATTTCATTTTATTCTGTTTAAAAATTGAGAAGTTGCGAAAAATTCTTCTCTCAGAACAATGTCAACAACTTGCGGATTGGAAGACAATCATGACATTTGTACCTGCTAGATATAGTACATGCAAACATAAGAAGATGCAGTTCTAAAGTATGGGTAACTAGGTGATGGTTGCTAGGCTGATAAACACTTCATGTATTCTCTACTAGGAAGTTTCAACATATAATTTTGCTGCTAATGATTTCTTCTAAACCCTCTACAGTATCTTTTCACTTGACTGGACCTAATGATAACATGTTAATCTAGTTGTCAAATTGATACAAAGGAGTAAACAACCTTTTTAATGATTCCGAAACGCCGTTCACTGTTATGATTTCAAACAGCGATTGTTTCGTAGCACCAAGATAATAGAGTATGACTACGTCATAACACCGCCAACCTCTTTTATGAATTTACATAGTGTGCAGGTTGAAATTAATTATGTTTTATATTATACTCTGTATGTCCATGACACAATACCTGATATAAATTATTAAGGTAAATGTAAAGACCATTTTTAAGATGTTCTTATTAGATAACATAACATAGTTATGATTAATACAAAAATTACCATCTTAGGACATTTAAAGCAGTGTGCATCGCCAAACGAATACCACATGTTTATTGTTTTTTCATGCATTTTTATGATATGTGATGCACATGTTGACATAGGGAAGTTATAGATCATTTCCGAAATGTCAGTATTTAAATGAAAGGAGTCAAAATGCTTATTTATGGATGCTCTACTACATACATAATGATCAATGTATATGACACTAACACAGAAATGCGTTAATGTGTAAATATAAGTACGCTACAGATATAATCAGTAGCCATGTCTTGAAAGGCAAAAGTACCAACTACCTTGCACGTAGCATTCGTTGTTTAACATTTCCTTCATTACAAACCAATTATCATTATTCCACGCGTCTCCACGTGAACTCATTGTTTGATAATTGATATAGCTCTTCCAAAAATAATAGATATCGGGCAATACAATTCTTTAAATATCATAAAAAAAACCTTCTGTATTACGACATATTATATCATGTGTCATGTATGTAAATGTTTGAGAGATTACAGACAAGTTGAACAAAGTGTTTATCATACTCAGCAAGTAGATATAGGTTGATGATTAAGGGCGTTGTCCACCAATCAGTGATGAGGTTTTGATTGATCATATAAGTATGACGTCATAGTGACTGACGTCAACAAAACAATCACTGCATCCTTAATTTCAATAATTTATTACAGAAAAGAAATCACTTTCCATTCCATCGTTTAAATATCAAAATTTCAATTTAAGCTTAAAAATTGTACGGTGGTTTGGTGTCTGCTCTGATTACAGAATTACTCACTGTCTCGGAGATATTGCTGACCTCCATCCTTTTTAGGACGAAAAGATAAAAAAAAAGTCATTGTCAAAATCGTAGATCTTTTATCAAAATCATCGATGTTAGAGATATATAAAAAAAATGAATTTATACTTTAAACTATGTAATAAGGTGAATTATGAACATAAAATTTCCCGAAAATTAGCAAATATCCTTAAACGGAGAAAAAGGGGTCTACTAAATGCCAAGTAATGACACTATGTGAATTATGTTGTAATCGTGAAAGTCCATTTTATAGCAGATATAAAATACTTTGATTAATTCAATGTTCATTTCAATGGTTTTTCAGATTACTTCGTTGCTGATAAAGTAATGGCAACTACTTTGTTATTGAAATTATAAAGTAGAATTATTCTACATATGCCAGTAATAACAGAAACGGTAATGGCCTAAGATAATGGCAAGTCTTTCTTTTATGGTTAGTTTATTGCCAGTCTTCAGATTGATATGTTATAGACTTGTGATCAATCGAGCTACTGCTAGCATTATAATACAATACCGTTCGTTCTAGAACCGTGATAGTGATGAAAGGCTTTGTATAACGATACTTAAAGCTATAATAATAACCATTCGGACTTCATTTCCGTTTTAGTTACACTTAATAACTGAATATGTTACGGTATTGATTGAACCCATATATTGTATGCATGTTTCATTATAATTTTGGTATTATTGAATAAAACCGAACATTTGGCTATTAATTTGTTTGATGAGTAAATTATGTTTTTAAAAACAATTGTTTAAAATCATAAAATATTAATATATATATTTGAAATAGAAATGTTCTTAATTACAGTTTTTCATGAATATATCGTTAGTTCAATTTTAATTACTTTCTGAAAGAAACACTCAGCTAGAGTAAGAGTTAATGGACAATCCTGTTTTCAACACGTATATCAAGAGTTGCAGGGTTCACAGGCAAAAAGGCTTAACGTGTCTTCAATAAAAATAAAAATCATTGAAATATTAAATGAAAACTGAATGTTTCTGGATTCAAATTTTCACCGAAGACAAACATGATAAGATACTGTTCCAAACTTATATTGAGACAAGTTCGTTAAGCTAACCATCCTTTAAGCAACTAGGCCTGGTGGTTAGCACAGAAGACTGGTAACCGAGACTTTCGTAACAGCTTACATCTCAATTGGTGTTACTAAATAAAGGCGACCGTGTTTGGAGTTTCACTTGTTAATCATAATATCAATATATTTTCATAGAAATGACGTTATTCATATCAAGGTCAACAGTACAACTGTATCAACTACAGGTGTATAATTGCAGAGAATAGTTTCCACTTTTTTGCTTTTTACTTTTTGTAAATCATTTAGCAATCAAAGGTAGATTGTCATGCCTGGAGTAACTTTCCCTGTAAAAATAAAAATGTCTATTATTCATCGTTAAAGTGTAGGCCTTGAATTGTATAGGTCCTGAAGTCGACCCCTTCAGCTTCCGTTCTTTTTATTTTTACTGTCAAACATTCAAATTTCGAGCAACTGTTATTCTACAAAATACATTGCAAAGAGTGATTTGTATAGAAGATTTATTTGAAATTGGTTAAATTAAATATTTCACGATAGGGATGATGGCAATACTATAGTTTAGCCTGTTTGTACCCTATACTTTAACAAAACATGGTATTCCAGAACGGAACCCTTTTACAAAGACGTTATCATTTGATTAAACTACCCTTTTTCAGGTGCATCGAAATACTGTTAAATTCGAATCGCGAATGTTTTGTATTTATAACACCATCGTGTGTATGCTTGTATAAACCCCCTGCTGGATAAAATGCTTTCTTTCTGTCAGAAAGGAGTTTACAGAATCTGAAATAAGATGGATGATGACAATTTTCTCTAACATCTCCCACACAGTATCATATTTTTAAAATGAATATTGCTTTGTTAATCATCAGCCATTAATAAATAATTAGCGAGCAATTGCTTGCAATATTGAAATAATCCGTGCATAATACCTCTTGTTTCCCTAGATTACACGCGAAGCACGTACTTTCGTGAAGTTCATTTCAAAAGCCTTCCAACACACAAACATCAGAAAGTAAATGTCGTGTGCACGGCAACTAAAAAAGACGAGGTGTTTTTTTCTAAAGAATGTTTCTGTTGTGACATCTAAGTCAACGACATCTAGAAAGCACCTGTTTTAAATCAGGCTATATTTAAAGAAAAGAGGAATCTGTGCATCTTCATTTGGATTGCGGGTATTTCGTGAATGTCTTAATGTCCGACAAAGTTTGGACGTTACATATCAATGAATGCCTGTCTAACGTTAAAGTTGCTTGCATAATCGAATTGCTAAAATGGATTTGAAGATAAGACGAAACAATGAATGTGTAATTAGGTTACGGGTACCTCCTCAATTCTGAATGGCTGACAAACTACAAATGAAAGCTTCTCTGAATATTTAACAGCTTCAATCAAACTTGATGTGTGTCTTTATAATGACAAGATGAAACATAGTGTAATTACGAAGAAGAGCGAAATCATTGCATATGTTATCAAGATACTAAGTATAAGTAATTATTTGATTCTGATTGGCCGAACGACGCATTTTGGACAATAAGTTCCCTAATTTTATTAATTTTAATAAAACTTTGGGTGAAAATACATAGAGGCAAAATCATGTTTAGGCTAAGTTTAATGATAAGCCAGAATCCTAACATAACTAAGATAGGGTTGTCTCTTGTAAATAGACCATGTTCGGAGATTGGTCGAACCCTAAATTACTGCGATTCCAGGAACTGTTTCGTTACTGACATGATTAGTAAATGTTTGTTAAGCTACATTATTATTATTATGGATATGATCAGTTCCAAGAATACCGTATTTCATGTTATCTGATACCGGAATACACTGATTCTTTTGTAGGAATGGGTATGCTAGCAGAGCGTTACCAGGACGACAAGGAGAGGGGAAATGCCATGGGTATAGCCCTTGGAGGACTGGCTATGGGGGTCCTTGGTAAGCCAACATGGATTGCTGTCTGATAATTAGAATATGGCAGTGTCATGTACTTAGATTTGTTTCTAACGACTCTGCTCGTATCATTAGAACACAATGAGCAGGTAAACACAGAATCCAAAACGTCTATTGATTTACTTTATAATGTATATGTTTCTTATCGATGTAATAGTTTGTCGTGTAGGCAAAGATTGTTATACTACAAAGTAATCGAGGAATACTTATTTCAGGTCCAAGTTAGTAAAAGCCTGATGGAGTTAAGCAAGTTAAATAAAAAATATTCAATAACATATTTTAAAAACAAAAACAAAAACAAAAATAAGAAGAAAATAATATGATAAAAAAAAAAAGGTGTTTCTGAAATATTCCTTTCAAAATATCAGGTTTTCGATTGATTTTTTATGCCCTGATGCATACTTTTTCCAAAATAGAAGTACAGTTCGCGAGCACACAAATATACAGTATAACCTATACCTAGTTGGGGAAATGTAAAGCGAAGACGTGAAAACTATAATCTGCAATGATTCCTTCACATGGATTGTGTTAGATGTAATAGGATCTTGTAAACAATTTAATAGATTCAATCAAAATGTCACGATATTTTTTGAATTTATTTTAGTTGGACCGCCGTTTGGGGGAGTTATGTACGAATTTGCTGGCAAGGAAGCCCCGTTTCTCATACTTGCATCCCTTGCGCTCATCGATGGAGGTAAGAATACTAAAATATCACAACTGAAAAAAAATCTAACTAGTAAATCATTTGTATGTGTATTAAATTTGGATATGAACAATCAAATTGTTGGACTATTTTTTCTCATCGCATTTGTTGAAAAAGCAGTAGCTATCAATATGGTAATTGATCATGAAGGTAGGTCCTCCTTAAATGGTATATGTATTTGTAAAAGAACCTGTTTTTGTTTTAATTTTTTCTTTAAATCACTAACACACATGTTAACTTTATTTCTTTTATAACTTGGGTATTTATAACATATGGACCCTCAAATTAATCCATTCATCAACTTTTTATATTTAATAGCACTTTGAAGAAATAGAGGACACAGATAATTGATATCTAAGATACATTAAATACGTCTCAATTGAAGGGGGAATAGCGTGATTTGTATATTTTCAGGACAAGAAAAAATGCTATTCATAATATATTACGAGTTCTCGCCCATGAATTATTGTCAAACTTTCATTTTTATATTTTCAGTCAATAACATAAAATTCAAGGAGCATGGCAAATAAAAAACGGTATTGCTATAAATAATAAATTTGTCCTCGGGGATGATGACCTTGAGCAAAATTGGCCGTCCACGTGTTAATGACATTTAATCAGTTTAGATGTAAAATGTTATTAAATATAAGTACATTTAAGATTTCCCCGACAAAAGCACAAGATGTTTGTCACTATGTATAATGAGTCATAAAATTGAAATTATGCACAAAGTTGATAATTTGTACACAATATATGTAAACTAATGAATTATAATTAATCCAAACAGCACCTGAATTTTTTTTCTTAAATTAACAAGTGTGAAAATCATACCACCCAGACCTGCTTGAAATAAGATATTTTCAATACGTTCTTAAAGCGATAAAGCTGTCAGCTCTAAAGAGTTAAACTACATATATACACGCATTAAACTTATAGTATACAATATGGTATAATGTTCAAGCCCCTGCGAGATAGTGAACTAATGTCTACATCAGTCCAAATTTGAATGCTGTTTCAGGTTTCAATTCCTCACATATTTTGTCAAACTCATATTGTCATTATAATCTATTTTACCTGTTAAAAATTATTTCTACGAAACTATGGTTATTTTCTTGACATACGAAATTAGGACTTAGTCTATTACTGTTTCATAATCCTGAGGCTAGTTTGAAGCAAATCATAAATGTAAAAACAAAATGTAAATTATAGTGTCAATGCTCACCGCTAACGAACAGAAGACACCAACAGAAACAGAAGACACACAAATAAACACGAAAAGACAGCATGGAGCCAATCCACAATGTTGACTTTCCCTGTAGAAATTCATTTGATAAATTTTGTCGTTTTATTGTACAATGTAAGATATTTCCTTTTAATTTCAGTGCTGCAAATGTTTGTCTTCCAACCGTCCATCAAACCGGAATCACAAGACGGCACTTCATTGAAGGTACTCATGTCTGACCCGTATATCCTTATAGCGGCAGGTAAGCACACAAAGCCTAAAGCTTTTTCCTACAATTGATTGCTTAAATAATTGATTCATTAATAGATTAATATCAAAATCACTTAATATAGGCTTAACAATAAAATGAAGTTCATTTGATACCAAAACATAGAACTAAATTTTAAGAGAGATTGAAAGATGTTTTTTTTTTTAAATATAAAGATATCCAAAAGTTATATGTGATACTCATCTGAGTCTTTCCACTTTAAAAAGATCGTTCGAACATTCTCTTTTCCCATTAGTCATCCAAAACGGTATCAAGTGGTTTGTAATGACACGCTCCATATACTGTATACAATGTTATATTGTAAATGTCATTAAGATACGTCTTTCGAGATATCAATATACAAGATGCATCGAAAGTGAGGAAATTGATGTATGTAATTGTATGACGTTGATCAGTTAGATTCAGATTTCACGTAGTTAAAATCTGAATTATGCTTGTTTTGTAGGTTCGATAACCTTTGCCAATATGGGTATAGCCATGATGGAGCCGTCCCTACCTATCTGGATGTACGAGACGATGAATGCCCCGGAATGGCAGCAAGGCAAGTACAGCAAGTCATATGTGGTTAGGAGTCCTAATAAATCATGAAAATGTCACTTTTTAAGACTTTCTTATCTTAAGAAAATTGCTACCTGTATGTGACATGGATTAAAGGATGTACTTTAGTATAATAATTTGAAGGGAAATAACTTTCCGTAATATTTTTCAATCAAAATATTTCTGATTAATTTACCCTCACAACGGGGGTTCAAGGATAAAAAGTACACTGCGGCGAAAATTCCCTGTTTACCGAAGTGCTTTTCTATCATATGATGCCTTACATGAGCATATATATTATAGTGCAAACAAACATGCAAGATAAAAGTATCGAGTTCTGCAAACTTAACAAAAGACGATAGAGACTCTCTAGTTTTGGTTGGAATTCAATATGTATAATGAACTCCACAATTAAATAAAGATTTATAATTTCACAGTTTTTATCTACTATTTGTAGGTGCAGCATTTTTACCTGCTAGTATTTCCTACCTGATTGGCACCAACATATTTGGTCCTCTAGCACACAAAATGGGCAGGTAAGAACTACCTCTACTCACCCGAATCTACCTAAAATATGTACATCGTACATCGTAATCAAAGTTTAAATCGGACTCTGTAAGTTCAACATTATATGACCATTTGCATTGTAATCTTTCATTTCTCCCTTTGAATGTTAAGTGTATTTCATATTTCATAAGCGGCATAGATGATTTTAAAAACAAAAAATTATGTAGTTTAAATGGTAAACATCCGATAACTTTCGATATTTTTACACAAAACTTCCGACCACAAAGTTATGTAAAAGTAGGAGCTTCTCTATGGATAAAACTTGTTCGAATAAAGAGAGACCAATGATAAACAGTTTGGATGTCGTCCTCGTACAGTCTCTATAATATTCTTATAGTTAAATGAGGCACTGATGATAGGATAATCTTGATTCATTTGTCTTAGTTGCATAGGATTAGTTGATACATCGATTGTAGATTTACGGTAAGAATTTGTGTCTCGGTGTCAAGTAGGTTATGGTAATGGTTCTTACCAAGACATTTTGTTATATATTAGTGTCAATGTTACCTCAACGTGTGGTATATTGGTGAAGGTGATCACATCAGTTGGCTGCTGTACTATTCTTTATTGTGTACAATAAATATATTCTATGTTTCCATGGAGACGGTTTAACGGCTTGATATGTTATCTCACTCACAGCAAAACTTTACATTGAAAGTGATGCTATTATCAAAGTATTGATACTGGTGTATATCTATCTTCACAACAACTCTGGTGTTCGGCTGGACTGGATGGAATTTATGAGTGTACTATTCTATAATCTGTTCTAACTATCTCATAATAACATGAATATTATATAGTGCTTTGTCTTGGTAACTTATCCTATATATCCAGTGGGTGGTTGGCCAATGTGTTTATACACAGGGACTTTGGGACCTGTATCCCTTGAATTTTATGTAGGATGGGTTGTCAATAAATATACATGATTTATTTAATTGTTAATATCTAAAACATAAACAGAAAATGATTAAATAAAAGTTGTAAAATGTTCATATCACAAGCTAAATTGTAGTCATCTCCCATGCACTGTTTAATTTGATTGTTATGACAGAATATGATTATGTAATGTTTGTAAATAAGTTTGGAAAGGACTTAAAAAGGCCTAGCCTCATGTCCAATCCAATTGACATATTTAAAGTCAAAATCTGTTGAAATGAAATGGAGACGGTTTAACTGCTTCTTCAGCATTGTAATGGGCCCGGTATTTTCCTTCTGATAAATGGCATTGGTACATGACTTTCAATGTATATTGACAGAGCTTTTGTGATCGGTTCCATTGAATAATGCTCTTTGAATGAGATGACATTTTAATTGAATGTCGCTAAGTATATGTTGTGCCGGATTTTCACGCTTTAGCGGTTATGGGATTTTCTTAATGTATATAAAGTCATGAAACAATGTAACTGTATGTTGTAAACAAGCTCAGATACTGGTTTTATGTGATGTAAAATTGAAACAAATACCTTGTTGTCAAATATCGTAAAAAGAATGACGTATTAAGTAATTTAATTGCTTCAATAAGGATCACAGTATAATACATACATATAACCTAAATATTGCATTTTTTGAAAGTAGCACCCCTGCAGTTCGGGAATAAAAAAAGGATGTATATCTGTTATTACCAGTTGTATGATTATAATAGATCACTAATAGTGGTGTCCCCTGTATAATAAGGGTTCTCATTTGTGTACTTTACATTGGTACACGAAAGACACCAAAATGAATTTGCTGTGTCCATTTCAACATCTGGGACTCTTTTTTTCTCTCCTTTCTATTTTTTGATTTTGTTTTTAATGCAATCTGAGACCTGTTATTTAGAAAAACCAAAGTCCTTATAGTTTGTACTCTTTCTACTTAATTATATTCTTAGTTGACCCTGCCAGAATTAGATTAAACATTTCATCTTTTTCGCTAATTCTAGGTGGCTGAGTGCATGTTTAGGCATGGTCATCATCGGTGTATGTCTTATTGCGGTAAGTAATTTAAGTAATATACTGGTTATAATTTGTTTCAGTTAAGTATTTCCACTCTTTAAAGAGAAATTTAGTAAACACATTATGTATACCGGGAAATGTTCGCTGCTGTTTAAGTCTCGCCTTTTTCGCCCTCCGCAATTAAGACGAACTTAAAATGACAGCGAATATAAGTAGACAGCATATCAAGTATAGGTATGAAGGGTAAAATTAATACTAGATGAACATAGAGTGTACTGGTGACAGGTGATAATTGTCTTGGAGAACGTTTCCCGGTATACATTATATCGCATTCAAAATATAACACATGTGTCTACAAACCTCTACAAAACATCAATCCTATGTCTAGTAACATTTACAAAACATAAATCCTATGTCTAGTAACATTTACAAAACATGAATCCTATGTCTAGTAAATTTACAAAACATAAACCCTATGTCTAGTAACATTGATAAAACATAAATCCTATGTACAGTAACATTGATAAAACATAAATCATATGTCTAGTAACATTTACAAAACATAAATCCTATGTCTAATAACATTTAAAAACATAAATCATATGTCTAGTAATATTTACAAAACATAAATCCATGTCTAGTAACATTTACAAAACATAAATCATATGTCTAGTTACATTGATAAAACATAAATCATATATCTAGTAACATATACAAAACATAAATCCTATGTCTAGTAACATTTACAAAACAAATCCTATGTCTAGTAACATTGATAAAACATAAATCATATGCCTAGTAACATTTACAAAGCATAAATCATATGTCTAGTAACATTTACAAAACAGAAATAGTATGTCTAGTAACATTTACAAACATAAATCCTATGTCTAGTAACATTTAAAAAAAACATAAATCCTATGTCTAGTAACATTGATAAAACAAATCATAAGTCTAGTAACATTTACAAAACATAAATCCTATGTCTCGTTACATTTACAAAACATAAATCCTATGTCTAGTAACATTTAAAAAACATAAATCCTATGTCTAGTAACATTGATAAAACAAATAATATGTCTAGTAACATTTACAAAGCATAAATCCTATGTCTAGTAACATTTACACAACATAAATCCTATGTCGAGTAACATTTAAAAAAACATAAATCCTATGTTTAGTAACATTGATAAACAAATCATATGTCTAGTTACATTTATAAAACATACATCCTATGTCTAGTAACATTTACAAAGCATAAATCCTATGTCTAGTTACATTTATAAAGCATAAATCCTATGTCTAGTAACATTTACAAAACATAAATCCTATGTCTAGTAACATTTACAAAGCATCAATCCTATGTCTAATAGCATTTACAAAACATAAATCATATGTCAAGTAACATTTACAAAGCATAAATCCTATGTCTAGTAACATGTACAAAACATGAATCCTATGTCCAGAAACATTTACAAAACATGAATCCTATGTCTAGAAACATTTACAAAACATAAATACTATGTCCAGTAACATTTACAAACAAAAATTCTTTTTATAGTAACATTTACAATGCATAAATCCTATGTCTAGTAACATGTACAAAAAATGAATCCTATGTCCAGAAACATTTACAAAACATAAATCCTATGTCCAGAAACATTTACAAAACATAAATCCTATGTTTAGTAACATTTACAAAACATAAATCCTATGTTTAGTAACATTTACAAAAACATAAATCCTATGTTTAGTAACATTTACACAACATAAATCCTATGTTTAGCAACATTTACAAAGCATAAAACATATGTCTAGTAACATTTACAAAACAAATCCTATGTCTAGTAACATTTAAAAAAACATAAATCCTATGTCTAGTAACATTGATAAAACAAATCATATGTCTAGTAACATTTACAAAACATAAATCCTATGACTAGTTACATTTACAAAACATAAATCCTATGTCTAGTAACATTTACAAAGCATAAATCCTATGTCTAGTAACATTTACAAAGCATGAATCCTATGCCTAGTAACATTTGCACAACATAAATCCTATGTCTAGAAACATTTGCAAAACATGAATCCTTTTTATAGTAACATTGACAAAACATAAATCCTATGTCTAGTAACATTTACAAAGCATGAATCCTATGTCAAGAAACATTTACAAAACATAAATCCTATGTCTAGTAATATTTACAAAGCATAAATCCTATGTCTACTAACATTTACAAAACAATAAATACTATGTCTAGTAACATTTACAAAGCATAAATCATATGTCTAGTAACATTGATAAAACAAATCATAAGTCTAGTAACATTTACAAAACATGAATCCTATGTCTAGAAACATTTACAAAATATAAATCCTATGTCTAGTAATATTTCCAAAACATGAATCCTATGTCTAGAAACATTTACAAAGCATAAATCCTATGTCTAGTTACATTTACAAAACATAAATTCTATGTCTAGAAACATTTACAAAGCATAAATCCTATGTCTAGTAATATTTACAAAGCATAAATCCTATGTCTAGAAACATTTACAAGACATAAATCCTATGTCTAGAAACGTTTGCAAAACATGAATCCTTTTTATAGTAAAATTTACAAAACATAAATCCTTTTTATATTAACATTTACACAACATAAATTCTATGTTAAGTAACATTTACAAAGCATAAATCCTATGTCTAGAAACATTTACAAAACACAAATCCTATGTCTAGTAACATTTCCAAAACATAAATCCTATGTCAAGAAACATTTACAAAACATAAATTCTATGTCTAGAAACATTTACAAAGCATAAATCGTATGTCTAGTTACATTTACAAAACATAAATTCTATGTCTAGAAACATTTACAAAGCATGAATCCTATGCCTAGTAACATTTGCACAACATAAATCCTATGTCTAGTAATATTTCCAAAACATGAATCCTATGTCTAGTAACATTTACAAAACAAATCCTATGTCTAGTAACATTGATAAAACAAATCATAAGTCTAGTAACATTTACAAACATAAATCCTTTGTATAGTAACATTTACAAAGCATAAATCATATGTCTAGTAACATTGATAAAACAAATCATATGTCTAGTAACATTGATAAAACAAATCATAAGTCTAGTAACATTTACAAAGCATAAATCATATGTCTAGTAACATCTACAAAACATAAATCCTATGACTAGTTACATTTACAAAACATAAATTCTATGTCTAGAAACATTTACAAAGCATAAATCAGGGGGCTAGTAGCATTTACAAAACATAAATCCTTTTTATATTAACATTTACACAACATAAATTCTATGTTAAGTAACATTTACAAAGCATGAATCCTATGTCTAGTAACATTAACAAAACATAAATCCTATGACTAGTTACATTTACAAAACATAAATACTATGTCTAGTAACATTTACAAAACATGAATCCTATGTCTAGTAACATTTAGAAATGTAATAATTATCTGTATCTTTGTATTTAAAACAAGAGTAATCAAGGCAATATAATCATATTTCAAAAACGATAGAAGAAAAAATGTTTTTTATACAATTCACAGTGGACAAATTGCTATGAGTATTACTATACGAGCATATTACGTCCTGTTCTCTCCTTGCCGGGGGTGGGTGGGGGGAGAGAGGAGTGGAATTTAACAATCATTCCATTATAAATCTAGTCAAAAGAACAGAAGCTAACCCAACATTTATTGTAGTGATGGATTACATTTGTCAAAACATTAGTGTTTCTGTATGAGTTATTTTGACAGAGAAGTGCTATTATTTATTTTTTTCAGTTTTAGTTCCGTACACTTCAAGTGCATATATACCAGACTAAACGTTACTTTACAACCAGGAAACTAAGTACAATTTTCATAAGTTATCACTATAAATGTCTGCAATTACTTGTTTACATTGTAGTCAATAACCAATGTCGACGTGTGAGATGATATTAAAAATTCATTTCCTATATGTTACAATTTGATTGGTTAGTGAACTAAAAGACAGGTTATAATTTGAACTCAATGTATTGTGAAAGACGCAATTTTGCACATGTCTGATGTATTTCATATTTCAGATTCCATTCTCAAAGAATATATTTCACTTGATAGCACCTAATTTTGGACTAGGATTCGCCATAGGTAAGTTCACAGATTTAAATTTGTTTACAAGAAAGACTAAAGATACATAATACACGTTGTAAATAATGATGGAATCCCTATGACCTATTTTCAGTCGCAGTAAAATTATGTCACACAAACATCATTAACTATTTGATATTTGTAACAATTGACCAAGTGAAATTGATTATTCGTAGTGCTGCTTTCGCCAATAAATACAATATTCATCGTACAAAATGGAGTCGGGTTTTTTTTTCTCTCCATAAAATGCCTTCTATGCAATATCATTCATATGAAAGTAGGTCAAACAAACAATTGTCTTTTAAGTTGATTTCAAATGTATGTTTCATTGTTGGCAAGAAAAATACAACCGTACAGAAGCAAAACGATATAATCATAGAATCGTAGCTTGTATTTTGTTTTCATTTTCATCTTCCCAACTAGTCGCAAACATTTACATCAAAGGATACATTAGGTTCCTGGACTGTGTTTAGAAGGTTACGAAACTGTGCCTAAAAGAATTAGTTGGGTAATTTTTGGGGAAACCCTCAATTTCGAAGAACTATAATTCCGTTCGTTCTTCTTCAAAATTCAAAGAACCCAATAAAAACACCGGTCATAATTTGTCGCTTACCGGGATTACATATCGGGTATGTACGTGATTAACCAGGTGTTAACATATCAAGGTGTATACCTCAGGTGTCACAGCTCATCTGGATTTTTTTAAAGTTTCTTTCATAAGTCCTCAGACAAATGTGTCATGTGTAGTTACAACGCCAGGAAAACTAGAGAGTCGTTTGGAGAAGGCGTCTTCGATGTCGTATTAACACTTATCACAGAAAGTACTTGATATCTTTAGATAAAGATATGACCTCGATGACGCCTTGAATTTTGAAATGATGACAGGATTTGGGAACTGGATTCAGTTTTTATAAATAAACTGTGCTCACTCGCTCACTAAGCTTAATCAATTGTGAGTGTGTTCCAAAATGTCAAAAAAAATGTATTTGTTTTAATGAAGGTTGTTTATATTATTTTTTCTGACATCATTTTAAGCAAAACAAGCAAAGTGGTAACACAATGAATTATTGATAGATCACAGAGTATAAGCCAGATTTATAATTGCAATATACAATTCAATACTGTTTACATAATGTTTGATGTTACCGAACGTGATAATAAAATTGTAAGATTAAGAGCACATTAACAACAGCCTGATTAAGGAACTTTGACAACATAATTTCCTAGTCTTATAAATTAACTATTCATTCTGTTATTATTGATGTACATTCAGGTATGGTGGACTCCTCCATGATGCCACACATGGGGTACCTGGTAGACCTACGTCATGTGTCCGTGTATGGAAGCGTGTATGCGATAGCGGATGTTGCCTTTTGTCTTGGGTTTGCTGTTGGTAAGACCACTATGCATGTCATTTTGATTTCATATTATGTGATTGTGATGAACTCTTTTTGTCGATTCTGCTTCAAACGCCTTTTCCGATGCTTTCGTCAATAATTACAAACATAAATATTAGTTTCATGATGATTTCCCTTGTATTTTGGTGACTCCGCGATTGTTTACTTTGACTTAGAGTTATCTGCCCTTGTAAAATTAAAACTACAAATATGAAGTAAGAAAGCGTGGGCGGTCTTTTCTCCCACCCTTCACAGGTGTGTCTCCCGTTTTAGCCGTGAAAGATCAGCTTATCAGCCCCTAGGGGGAGATAGCCTTGTGCCGATTAGCACGTGTTCAACTGTGACGTCATTTGTGCACCCAATGAAATTTTAGATTTGATGGCATTGAACATCTTTTTCTTGTGTTCATAGGTCCAGCGTTGTCCGGGACGATCGTGAAGGAGATCGGATTCCACTGGTAAGCCATAATTATAGACGTATAAGGAATTGTATCAGTATATATAGTACGTAGCTTATCGGATAACTTACATGAAATCATTTGCAAGGCCGATATCACAATCCGTTTAAAAATGACAATAGTTATATAATCTTTTTATATAATCTTCTCATATTATCTTTCTTAAAACGTGTACTCGGCAGATGTCATATCCTAATTGAAAATATAAAAATTTAATATCATTGGTCTAGTATATGATTAAAGAATGAAAAAGAATAAAAATTGTATTTCTTAAAAGGATGATTTGTGCATATATCTACTTATGATGAATTCATTATGTCACAGGTTGCTGTGGATGGTGGGTATTATCAATATACTCTATGCACCCTTGTTAATATTTATTCGTAATCCACCAAGTAAAGAAGAAAAAATGGTAAATATCACATTTTTTCTTTTGTAAATATATATTGCTTACGTTCTTTTCCTGGCTTAATAGTTCTCAGTATTTTGTTAGTTAACTTAAGACAGAAAGTATTAAAGGTATGCTCTGTGATCAATTACAACATGGTACAATTGTATCGTAATGGACAATCAATAATAACTTGATTAATTTTTAAAAACTTAAGAAAACTGAACCTAGCTTTAAGTTCATTTGTTTAATAACTTATACAGTGACAGTTGTGGTTTTTGCCATAATTTAAAGAAAAAAGTTGTGATCATTTGAAAAAGATGGAGATTACTAAACTCATGATCGCTTAGTGGCACAGAATGTAAAAATCCATTTATTGTTTATTCAACTGGTGTCTAGTCACCTATGTCTTAATACATAAGTGATACATGTGTATTTACCTTACAGTCACTAATCCTTAACGACCAGTGTCCTATACAATACGTCACCTACAACCAAACAACCAAGAGTAACCCCACATCTGACGACGAGGATCCCTACCACGAGGATTACTGAAACCTGCCACGCCCACCTAACGTCCGCAACATGCCCATGACACGCCAACAACATGTCTAGGATGTACCAATTTAGTATAGCATAAATCGTGATACGACTGGGAAATCTAAGGCAGAGAACGCCTAAATCGGGTTTGATACGCATTTCATACATGTATGCAACACCCAAAGCAGTCTATGGAAACACTACAAACATACGCCTAATAAGTACATTTAAACAAATTGGACACACCCAGAGTCAGGCTATGGAAACTCCTTCACACATCCAGACAATATTTAAAGGCAGAACCAGGGGACGAATTGGATACGCCTAGAGGACACCAAAACTGTGGCATGGAAATTCCCTAGGTACATTTGTACAACTCTTACACCACGTCATTGAAACTCATTGGAAAAACACATAAAATCCATCCCACTGCGACGAAATCAGGGCTTCATAAAGTCCTTGTGTTATGGCAGCCCCTTAATGCAATGCATGACCATCATAAAATCATAAAACGCTTCAGACAGCCCTTGTCTTCGATTTAAAAAACACAACAACAACAAAATTGACACACCGCACTGGATACACCTCGAACATGACAAGGCCGATAACAAGGGAACGCCCACCAAGCGATAACTGCCCATATTGATTGTAAGATGTTTGCTTCGATGATATGTTGTGTTCGGTGTACAAAGTAACAGCATACTCGTTATAATGTATCAATTGCACGTGCTAATGGGGTATTGTTATTAGAATAGAAATTATTGACAGAAAATAGTTAGAAATCATGAGATATATATTTTATAAATATTAAAAATGGAGTTCCTTTATTTCCTCGACAAACACAGTTGGATTAATTGTGTCTACTGTATCTTGTTATTATAGCGAACTTTCCTTAACTGCAATTCTTCGTACTATAATGTGGAATTCCTGATTGTGTAGCATAGTTGTCAGTGTGATATCAGACGATTCTGTGATAGCAACAGGCCACAGAACACTGTATAGGTTGTGAAACAAGTTCTAATAGGCAGATGTTCTTGTAGATTGTTAATAACATTTAACATGAAAACGTATACAGATGATAAAACATCACATGTTAGCCAAATAGCATGACTCAATGTACGTATTCGACTGTTCAAAGGAAATCTATTCTATATATGCTAATTAGATGAATGTAATGTTCGGTATGTATGTTTGCAATTTATATATTGTAAACGTGTAATACTAGATATGTATAATATTGTATTAAGATAACAAATGTGCATTATAATGTTTGTGATATGAAAAAATATATTATATTATGTGTGTGCTAAAGTAATTCATCATAAAAAAGAAGCATATTATTCATCAATTGATTAAAGCTCATTTTGGATGAAGAATAAAGATAATAATGTATAGCAATCGTCTAAAAATTAATGCTAGTCAATGAGTTTTGCAAGTCACTGTGTTATTTTGCAAGCAGAGTCAATTGTGAATTCAAATATTTCATTTGAAACATTGAAACAGGGAAAGGGCTCTTAGGTTGACGTTTTCTTGATCACAAAATCTTTATTGATTCTTTTGGTATGCGTATTTGTTCAAAAATTAACAAAAAAAGCGTGAAGCACAAACATCATTTAAAGATTATTGTTGAAACATGCAATTAGTTGCAGTATAAATGTATGAAATATATGAATAAATAATTATTTCGTACGTATATGTTTATTGTTTAGAATGAAAGTATTGAAGCAAATGGAATAGCATACGAATACATGTAGTTATTACTAGTTTATGCGGCAATACAGTCTCCTTAACTGGCGAGAAAAATAGACCATTTAGTATAATCACAAGAACCAGTTTTCCAACGCAAGATATACAATTTATTGAAATAAGAAATAACCGTGATTTTATGAAACAATTTGACAAAATATAATATTAAAGCATTTCTTTCATTTAAAGACTCCTATTTATGCTTTGTAATTTGATACAAGTGTATTTATCTGTAGCAATAAAACATATATTATTATTTTCAAATTTCGAATGATTTTAACAATTGTCGTTGTAAATAATATCTCGTTGTGTTCAGAAATGTATTTCAAAAGAAGAGGAATACAATGCACTTACTTTTCTTTTGCATTTCCGTGGTAATTGTGAAACATATCTTAACAAAATATAAATGTACCTTTTAACGAGAAGCGACGTTACACAGTTCAGATAAACAAAGTTACGTATTTTGTATAAATGTTTAATATTACAAATCTATTATTTATTTATTCATTGTGTCAGTCTATGTGTGACTATAGCTATATGTTATCATCCCTGGTACTCTTTAACTGGAATTATTGCATATTTCCAATTTTGTAGATTACATTTGTGACCAACATGTCTTGTATCTCAAGAAAGATTTACAAAATTGTCATTTAAGCTACCATTTACAAAACTTGGAATGCAGAAGGTCTTAATCATATAAAAATTACTGCTATTTCACACAAATGTTTTGGTTATTTTATTTTTATTTTATTTTTCACGTGTCATGTGAAAAATGACCTAAAGCAATTTCGATTTGTTTGTGTCTCATATTTTTATTGTGATGTCATAATAGACACAATTTATCAATTGTAGCAAAATCCCTATACTGTACGCAAAAAGGTGATCGGATATTACTTGATTTCATGATTTCACAATAGTTTCAACTGACACTTAATACAACGTTACATGTACCTAGGAAGAACCATATTTTGAAGAATGTTTATTTTTCTGAGTGAAAGATATTTTTTATTGCATGACATGTATAATCACTATTTGTGAGTTATATTCCAGTTACTAGTAACACAAGATCGATGAAGCACATACCGAACTTCATCGCTTGCTCATTAATAACAAATTAAATGTGGGCAAATTCAAAATATGTATCGTAGAAAACATTCTGTGATAATCTAAACTGATTGTCATTTAGTTAAGGAAATTGTCTACCAATTAAAACAAACAAAAAATGATCATTTGCCTTAAATTACAAAATATAAACCCGCTTATTATTAGACTTTATAAATGAGACTGATATTTATGTTTCTGAGATTGAATGGTTGTGTGGTACATCGAGGTTGTATTATGACATTTGAATGTGGTTGATATAATGATCTCGTGATATAGTCACAGAGTACACATAGTAAGCATCCCTGTCCAACTGCAAGCGAAACACAAGAGAATATCACCACTGTAGATTTTCATATTTAAGCAGCTTACCATTTATTTCTTATTGGATATACAATGTAATTGAAGTCAATAAGGGCCAGGAATCCATTAGCTAATCATATTGATCAATTAGTTAAAGTCAACTTATCGTGATAGAAGGTCCAGGAGTCGAATCCCTGTCCCGAACCATGTCCTTTTTTTTTTTTTTTTTTACTTTCTAATTAGTGTTGTAAAATTCTTTTTTATTTATATTAAAGCTATTTGTATGCAGGGAAAACAAACCCAATTCACAGTTACAGGAGGCACGGTAGTCTAATGGTAGGACGCCGGGCTCGTGACCGAAGGGTTACGGGTTCAAGTCACGGCACGGCACTGTGGTGTATCTTTCAGCAAGATACTTTACTCAGCTTGTTCCAGTCTACTCAGCTGTAAATACAAAATAACTGAAAATGAGTTCGTTTGTCGAAGCGAGTAGTGCTCCGAAGTGAGTGCTCGTATCAGCATACTGATCAGGTATTTACAAAATTATGGAATATATTCCATATTGGTTATTTCAAGGGAACTGTTCAAAATTACAGCACATAATTTAGGTCATTGATTTCATTTTTATTTCAATATATCTCTGAAAAGAGAACAATCTCACAGATTTAATAATATATTTGACAAAGATATGCTGGTGTAAAAGCACAAATTCAATTAATACTAGTTGTCAACAATTTCTTAAATCGATTTCGACAGGATTTTGTCTAATTTGAGTCCGGTGATTGCTGAGATGCATTTTTAGTTATTCGATTAATAAAACAATCTTTCATATTATCATTCGGAGATAACTTGTTCCAAAGTTATCATCAGAATTCTCCTTATACTTTTTGAAATGAGAATATAGCTACAGAGAAGGTATTATTCCGTTAATATTGCATGATTCGTGCTATATACATCTGATCAATGAAAACACGAATAATTCTTCCTGACCTTCCGAACGGTTGAACGAGACTTTATAATTATATAAGTTTGTTTGGTTGTGAATGGTTAATCATTACATTGATGAAGTCACAGACGACATGACCAAATGGTATAATTTAAACGTCTATGGCGTCATAATACATGTGAACAGCCACAAAAACGTCATAGACGAAAAGCACAATAAGAAAGAAGGATGACGTACAAATGTATATCTGGTGCTCAAAGTTTAAAGAAGTGTATCCGAATTTATCGGAAATCATGAAATAAATGTTGCCTCAGTTATTCCAAATAATGGAATTAGCTGCATATAACAGGTTAAAGGTGTTTCAAGCTCCTTTTGAAACAAAGGCGCAAAATGAACCATGAGTTCCTAACTAAAATTCTAAAACGTTGAAAACAAACACAAATACACAAATCGCTGTCTTAATTAAGATAAGGACTTTTAGACAATGGGAAGGTGTAGAGGAGATCCCTGGCTAAATTAATATAAGCACATGTAGACAGTTGGAAGTTGTAAAGGGGATCCCTGTCTTAATTAAGACACGTACACGTAGACAGTAGGAAGCTGTAGAAGGGATCCCTGTCTAAACTAATATACGCACAAGTAGACAGTAGGAAGCTGCAGAGGGTATCCCTGTCTAAATTAGGATATGCACATGTAGACAGTTGGAAGGGGTATAGGGGATCCCTGTCTAATTAAAGACACGTTCATGTAGTTAGTGGGAAGGGGTATAGGGGATCCCTGTCTTAATTAAGACACGTACATGTAGACAGTGGGAAGCTGTAGACCCCGGGGGATCCCTGTCTAAATTAAGATATGCACATGTAGACATTGGGAAGCTGTAGAGGGGATCCCTATCTAAATTAAGATACGTACATGTAGACAGTGGGAAGGTGTAGAGGGGACCCCTGTCTAAATTAAGACACGCACATGTAGACACTGGGAAGCTGAAGAGGGGATCCATGTCTACATTAAGATACGTACATGTAGACAGTGGGAAGGTGTAGAGGGGATCCCTATCTAAATTAAGATAAGTACATGTAGACAGTGGGAAGCTGAAGAGGGGATCCATGTCTACATTAAGATACGTACATGTAGACAGTGGGAAGGTGTAGAGGGGATCCCTGTCTAAATTAAGATAAGTACATGTAGACAGTGGGAAGCTGTAGAGGGGGTGTTGGAATCCTTCATCACTGCGCGATTAAACGTGAGATTTGATGTACCTAACAACCAATTATACGTTTATAAAAGGAAGTAGTATTTATTTAGAAATGTATATTGCAAAAGAGAGAGAGTGAATATATTTTATATTTAGAACTGCATTCCATTTGTTGACAGATTTGTATGTACAAATGTATAGACTTGGACTAACTGTCACCTTTAAATCGTCATAGAAAACCCCTCACAAAAAAGT